CAGCTTTTTCAGGCACAAGGCTACCAGATTAATTTATCACCTTCCCGTTCACATATAATTTGCCTGCATCCCATATGTTATTCATTTAGTAATAGTCTTTTCCTACAATTAATAAGCACAAAAGGAGACTAAATGACAAATTACACTTGATTGCTAAAATAAATATTCACATACATTTGAGCGTACTGAGTCAAAGACAGTCAGCATAAAGAGAAAGAAATAGACAAATAATAAGTCAAATTACACTTGATTTCTCTCAAATACTGTCTATTTCAGCATGGCATTATGGTTACTGTGACCTTTGTGCCGCGTATCTTGTCTCTATTGTCTTGAGTTTCAATAGAATTCGTACTTAAAGTTTGGAGTTTAGTTGTGAACTTGTGATTGCTGTGGCAATGGCTAAAAAATATAAAGAAGCTGAAGGAAATACAGTGGTTATGTTGAGCTGCTTGTCATACTTATGGGATGACTTGTGTGTATATAACAAATTAAGGGTCAACGTTTTTTTAAGTTCAATGAAGTTTATATATCAAATGTAAAAATAAATTAAATAATTATAAGAGTGTAACATATCCGATATTTTAATTAAACTCACTTAACTCTCAATCACCGATTTATATTTTGAACATGTACGATTTATATTGAACTCAAATATTTTGATAACTATGAAATTGATCTTGGAAATAATATTAATATGTTCTTGATGTGTTTGAGGCATAGAATAAATAGATTTGATATTAATTGTGCTGTTGAGAATAACAGGTGTTCTTCGTAATCATGATACCAAGGATAATGCTGAATCTATCAACTGCTTTGTTTTTATGAGTTATGTGCTGAACTAGCACAGTTTTCGAGATTAGCTGTAAAAATGATTTGTAGCAAGTTACAAGTTTGAGTTTATGATAATATAAGTCATGCAGGGTCAATTGCATGTGTTTATGAAATCGCAGCCTTGAAATAGATTATTTAAAAATATATCTAAATTCATTAGTATTAGAATGCAAACAGAGACACCAATCTGTATGTAATAAATGGAAAATAACACTCCAATTAAGTACTGTGCAGTAGTAGCATAACTCTCCAATGGTTTATTGTTGATTGCTGCCACTTACAAGACTAGTCAAGCCCATTGTTTTCTTTGTCTCTTATTTTCTCACTTTATCCTTCATTGCTCTTCTTTTATTTCACTAATTAATACCTTAAATATTCCTTCTTCAAAATCTTTGTGCAGTTATTTTCTTACAGACTTGTTTTTTTTATAAATATTATTAAAAAGTTCAATAAATTAGCAAATTAATTAAAAATTCTATTATGTCAAATTATCAAGATTTAATTATTGAGAACTACAGCAAAATTGAATAATATTCATGAGTTTTTGAAACAATGATATGAGAAACATAATTAATTTGATATTTTGGGACCATGATCATGCTTTTAGTTTCTAATCTTATTAGGACTCTCATTATCTTTTAATGAGTCAAAAATTAGATTTTTACTCGTTAAGTCTACATTAATTTTTCTTTTGGTAGCCTAATAGGCTTACTAAAATAGACTATTCATATTAAGCATATCTAAATGTAAATAGTCAATATAAATGTCATAATATAATATGTAATACACCTTAATTAGAAATAACAAAATTTCTAACAATCTCACATTTGATTACATATTATTTAGATACTTCTATAATAAAAAATTTTATGTGTACAATTGTATTCTATCACTCTCTTTAAATAGTTAAATTCATTTCATACAATAACATGAAATTATTGCAATTTTCATTATAATTTAGAGTAATTAAATATTAATAATCACCACAGTTATATATAATCAATAACATAAATCAAATATGGATGTGTGACATAAATTATATGTAATATAATCTTAATGTCTATCTTTAATTGGTCTAAACTTTAATCTATATATAAATCAATCCAAAATTATAATATAAGTTTTGTGCAAAAATAGGTTTAGAATAAAATGAGAAACATCAATTTTTTTTGTAAAAAATTCAAAAAATAATATATAATATGAATGAGATTCTCACTTAAATCAAGACACTATTAAAAATTACACTCGTGAATAATGTGCTCATAAAAAAAAATAGCTATTAAAACTTTAATAAGTGGGTTAACAAGTATGAAATTAGTCTCTATATTTCCTATGGAAATTAGCTTGTTCTGAACTTTTTCTTGAAAAACCGTAAACTTTATATTATAACAATAATGAGGTGATCTTCAAGGTACATATAAGACAATCTCAAAAACCTCAATAAATGTCATTAAGGTGATCCACTAGATGATTGTATTGTGTTTTTCTAAGAACATGAGGATACATTAGTTTAAAGGAGGATTGTTCAAGTAGCTTTTGTCAAGCTATGAACAATTTTAATTGTCAAAATTAAATTGCGACCATGAAGGATGAGATAATATCATTGTCAAAATTAAATTGCTCCATGAAGGATGAGGTAATATCAATGCAGGACAATAATGTTTAGGATCTCATTGAACTAAGTAAAGGTCTAAAATATATTGGTTGTAAATGGATATTTAAAACTAAGAAGGATTTAAAGGGTATATAAAGAGATATATAACTTGTTTAGTTGCTAAAAACTTTGCTCTAAAGAATGACATTGAAAATATTTTTTTTCTAATGTTTTTAAAGAATTTTTAAAATAATAATGACACTAGTAATTCATATAAGAATAGTAAAAGTACAATTAGAGTTTCAAATAAGCAAGTTCTAACTAATTTAGCCTTAATCATGTGAGTTAGGGTCAAAAGTCTATAAGGTTAAAAAGATCATATGGTTAAGTATGTTAGGGCTAACTCAAGAACTACAATTTTTAAAAAAAAAATTATTTTAACTCACTTTTTTATAGGATAATCATATACTATTTTAGAAAATAATTTATTAAAAATATTTAATTTATATAATTTATTTTCTATTATAAAGTTGTAGAGAAATAAAATTGCTTAAAAAATAGATAAAGAAAAATTATATTTGTATAATATTAAATATTTATAATGATTATTGTTATTAAATAATATCAAATAAAATATAATAATTTATCATCAAATTAAGTTACATATTTTTTTTAATTTTAACATGTATTATTGATAATTATTAAATAATTATAACTTATGTTTATATAATTTTATAAATAATATTTTAACATAATTTTAAAAAAATATTTAAAAAAATTAGAATGATTGTAAATTACTTAATTTTATGAATATATGAAATTAACTACATTGTAGTATTTATATAATATTAGACAAAATACAAGATAAATAAAAACACGTGCTTGTATATTATTTACAAAATTAAAAAATCAAATAATATTTTAATTTTAATTTTCTATTTTTATTTATTGATTTATATAAGTATTCATTAATTATTAAATTTTAAATATATATTAACAACTGCTTTTTTCACTTTTTATACCATTTTTTTAATACAAAATCTATCTTTATCTATATAAAACTCATTAAAAAAACCATTTAAAGTTGTATATATTTATAATTATATTAAAAATACCCATTTCATTTATAATCTAAATTATAATGAATCCATAATTATTAAAACTTATTAAAAAATAATAATAAAATATTAGATCTAATTTTAACAGTTGTCCATTTATTTTTATTTAAATTAATTATTATTGTATTAATAACTTATTTTATAAAATTGTATTTTATCATTTAATTATTATATTGTTAAAAAATGTATTACTAATTCTTAAATAAAAACATAAATGTTAACACACTGCTATTTTTATTTTTATTTAATAAATAATATTTTTGTATTTAAATAATAAAAATCATAAAAAAATAATATAATAATTATTGCTCAAGTTAACTCATATTCAATTATAATTTTAGCCATGTAATTTTTATTTTTTTTTATATTGAGACTTAGAGTTAAAGTAATTTCACTAACTATAAGATTTAAGAAAAAATAAGTTATATAATTGATTAAGTAATTGGGTTGTAACTTTTCAAAATAAGCAAATTTTCATAGAATATATTAAGACTAATTTCATGCTAGTTGACTCATTTACTAAGAGTTTGAAAATTTATTATATACAAAAGAACTTAAAATTAAGACATTGCTTAATCGATATTGAATCACTTGTTACTTAAACCAACTTCTATCAGTAATAAATAGATATTTTTCATTCTACTTCAAACTTGTTGTGTACTTATATTGTTAAGATTATATAATATGTAATTTCTATAATGGTTATTCATTTATGGAAAATCATAAAATTCATTTACAAATATAAATCTCAATAATTGAATAATAATAGTGTTTTGTCACAAAATTCATTCATAAATATGGATCATAATAATCTAACAATAATGATATCTTTAATCCCAGTTATTAGAAATATCAATAAATTACCAAATTAACTAAAAGATCTACATTGAGAACTATAACAAAATTGAACAATATGCATGAGTTTTTGGTATAATAATTTTCCTCACTCAAATTATTAATTTTATATAAGACTCAATGTTTCTCTTCAAAAGCATATAATGAGAGACGTAATTAATTTATTGTCTTAAAGACCATACTTTTAATTTTTAAACTTATCAAAATTTTCATTATCTTCTAATAAATAAAAAATTAGATTTTTATTTATTAAGTCCATATTAATTTTTCTGTAATTTAATCAATTTACTAAATATATGAAGCATTTTAATGTGAAATTACTGTATAGTTATTTATTATTGTATAAATGAAAAAAATTCATTATATAAAATTTACAAATAAAATACTTTGATAATATTTCATTATTTCACGCAATATACTTAAATTTCTGATCCCCGGTGAAACCACAGGAAAAAAAAAAAAAAAAACTTTAATCTAAGGGTTCCACATTTTTTGTAAAGCTTATTTTTTGAGAAAATAATAAACTAAATTTCAGCAGCAAGTTTGATATAAAACGGAAATTCTTCTTCCAATTGACCAAACGACTGCGTTTTAGGCTTCCCGTTTCTGAATGAAGAGCTGTCCATCGTTACCCAATAATCCTTTTCCTTTCAACCTTAGAAATTGCAAAAGGAGAAGTTATGTTAGTTGCATTCAGTTTGGATTTTTGAGTGCATTCATAGTCACAAACAATATCCAATAGTTCTAGGTTTGTACAACTGTGGTTGATTAATTAGTTTGATGTTAAGTTTTGGTAGCTAAACAATTATGATGAATTTGATGTTGTGTTCATTGTTTTCAATGGATTTTTTGGTGATATGATTTGTCTGGATATTTCAGTTGAACTTGTTTTGGGACTTCAATGTATATATTACTGTCCTGCTTGCTCATGTAAGATCCAAATTCTTAGGATTCTTGTTTCTTTAAAAGGAAAAATGTTCAGGTTATGTTTGTGTTTGGGTTCTTGGGAATAGGATATTTTATAGGCAAGGGAAATATGTTGTATTTCCATGACATTGGAGGTACAGTGATAGGAACCCCAAGAGTGAATGGGAGCAGGGTGAGAGTTATTTAGACGGTTGGATGTCTATTGATGGGATAGGTACTTAGGCATGGGTTTTGAGCTTAAATAGCAAGAAGATGGTGAAGGTAGGCATTTGGGAATTTAGATTCGAGAACTGGGCGAAGTCTCTATTGTGAAAAGGGAAACCCTCTGTGAAGAAGAGGCCTTCAGAAGGAGAACTCTCGCCTTAGTTTTTTTGTTTGCAATCCTATAAACTGTTGCCATTTCTTTAATTTGTTTGGACAGTTGACTCGTGTTTGATCAAATGTGTTGAGATCGCACATTGATTACAAATATGAATGAACTAGAGCTTATTGGCTCAAGTATCTTCACCTCGCGAGCTAGCTTTTGCGGTTATGTTAGGCCTAACCCAAATTCAAGACATTGCAATTCCTTGTAAAGTTCAGGGGCGCACTGAGTAGGGGCAGAACAAGGATTAGGTTAGGGTGCAAATATCTTGTATATCTTATGGATTAATTATTTTTGCTCAATTAATGTCTACTTGGTCATGAGAAATACATACATGATACATCTCCTTGTGTAGGTATGGACTTAAAAGGAGCTGTTAAGGACATGATCCCTTGGGATGGGACTCTCTCTTCAAGTGATTTTTCCCTTTCTGCTCATACTTTTTCTGAGAAGTGGAAAAGGTTCAATCCTTCCTTTCCTCCATGGCTGTGGATCCCATGTCCAAGACATCATTTGTTGTCTTCTCATAAGGTGGTTTTGCCCATGAGATTTCTATGTCCATTGCCTTATTGCTCTATGCATAGACCATAGTGTAGCTATCTTGGTTTTTGTGTCTGCCTCTTTTTCAGGTGGAAGGATACTTATCACTGGAGAACATGTGCCATGTCAAATCAAATGAGGTCTGGCAACAATTCAGTTTATGACTAGATCCGTAATGGTGGAGTTGATGATGTAAGTTATTGGATTGTAATTGTCATTACAGGAAGAAGAGAGCAATAGATGTCTGACATGGAAAGAAGAGAGCAACATCTCACAAAGAGAAGAGCCCTTTGATAATGCCACTTTAGTATGTATGGCCTAGTTGATATTTATAATATAAGTTATGTTTACCTCCTACCATAAATTTGATTACTGTCAGTTTCAGTTTCAGAACTCTTCCCTATTGCTTACAATATTGTATTTTTTCCTCTCTACTAGGTCCTGAGCATGAAGTAAACCACTATGATTTTCATATCATTTACAGTCCTTCATATAGAGTTCCAGTCTTCTATTTTCGTTCTTACTATAGTGGTATGACCGTTTACTTTTCCATCTATGAAGTTGTGGGTGGTAAATATCTTAATGGATGCATAATTATGAATTGCGCTTTTCATTAAAACAATTAAGCTTGAAAACCAGGACCACCTTATGGATGTTTTTGTTGGAAACCTGGTGACTTGCACTGATCCAGTGGTCTTTACAACTTTTATGTTGTTAGATGTGGATACAAGAAATGCTAGCTAAATCAATAATTGTGCACCTTTTATATCGTTTTCATGTTGGATTGCTTAAGTTTTGTAATTGATGTTGTGGATAGTTTTGAAACTTTTTGAGGCTGTGAAAAATATTTATCAGAAAAATGGAGGGAAGTACAACTGTAAGGAGGAACATAGATTCTGTCTAGGTTGATAGTGTTGACTTTCTTGAATACAAATGATTTTAAATTTGGGGTTTTAAATTTTCTATTCTTATCTAAAAGCCATGAAAAAGAAATAACCATTTCTTTCTGTATGCTGAATCACACTATCACATTTATCTACATCTGCCTTCTGATATGTCTATAAAAAAGTAATTTTTTTACTGAAACAAATGATATCCATTACGTATTTTATAATGTTTGATAATGTAGATGGACAACCTTTGCCGTTCAATGAAATCGGAAAGGACCTTCCTGGTCACTCTGCAAACCTACTGGCAGAATCCAAATGGACATTTATAACTCATGAGGTAATAACTTATTTCATTTTTTCCCCTTTTCATGTTGTTCTTCTCATTATTTTGCTATAAAATTTCATGATTATTGTGATAACAACTTTGCTTCTGTTGAAAATATACCAAAAATATATTAATATTTGGTCCACCTGGTCTTGCCTTGTGATTATTTCTTTAATGAAACAGCTTTATAAATAGATATGGAGTGAAAATGCAGAAAATTTCCATTATTAGATCACCATAAAAGTGCCATTTGGTCTGCAAATGCACTTGGCATAGACTTCTGCTTTTATAAGCTGAACACTGCTCTTAAAACACACAATGGAATAATTTTACTTAGTTTTTAACCACTTCTTATGTTAAAAATAACCATAATTAATATGTACACCTTATCACCAAATTTGTTCATAATCATGCATAAATTAACTGATTTCAATGTTATGACTTGTAGGAACATCCATATTTGAACAGGCCATGGTGCAAATTACATCCATGTGGGACAAGTGACTGGATGAAGCTGCTCTTCAATGGTGATACGTCTTTGAATAAAAATGGTTTCATTATTGAACAATATCTGGTTTCCTGGTTCTCGGTCATTGGACAAGTGGTTGGTCTTAAAATTCCTTTGGAAATGCTGGATACTGTAGTTTCTTCCGATTCTTAGATGCCTACTTAAGCTTACACAAAAATCAAAGAGGAAAATGAAAGTCTCCGCACACCACTTACTGTTACTAGTGCAATGGTCATTTGTAAATAGCAATGTTGTTGCTCAAGCATTAGATGATTGGTAAAACATATTTTACATTCTATTATTGATAAATGGGTTATGCAATTGGAGCGTAATATAGAATGATGAGTGCTAAATTATTATGCTGTACCAGTTTTTACCTAGGGGAGACAAGCGACTGGGGAAAAGGTTTCTCATTTCAGTTTGTCCTTGTTAAAGTATAAATTTATTAACCATTATTGTCCTAAGAGTAATGATTAAAGAATCAATAAATAGAAAGGTTTTATTAAAAATCATGCTGAGAGTAAATTGAAAATAATGTTAGAAATGCATTAATAATATTTTTAATAATTATTTTACTTTTAATTCCTTAAATTTGCCTAAATTTAATTCACAGCCAATACCAACATAGCATCTGCAGATGGGGTTGTGAGTTGTGACAAGAATGTTGGGTGGATTTGTTGTAACTGTTAATTATTGGAAGACACTATCGTATATACCCTTGGTTAATTAATTTTAATTCAATTCAAACTTTTTTTTTCTATTTAAACGTTATTAATATATGGACACCTAGTAATTTAACTTGTTTGTAAATTTTTTTTCTTTTAAACATGTATGATTTATTTTCTATGCATAAAAATCACTACAATTATTATTTTTATTTTGATGTGTTATTGACCCGTGCTAATTAGAAATAAATTCATGGTAATGGTAAGAGTTCTTTGAAGAAATTTCATTTTTCAAGCTCATTTTGATCCCGTGCCAAGAATCAAAATTATTTAGAAGTGTTGGTTCTAAAATGGAATGAGATAGCCGCAAGCTACAATGAAAGGATGGAAAAGCATAAATTGCATTGATAGATTGTGGTGGTTCACTTTTGTAAAACTGTTATTTCTCTTATTCATATTGTAACAAGTAAAATACAATGTAACAACTGCATCAAGATCCCTACTTCCACATTTTCATTAGGCAACTGCCAATGGATCCAGCCACCACATTGACCAAAGAAAATTGCATCTTTGTGGCTGACACACCACTAGCAACGGGTCTTATCTAATTACTTTGGAGACTGTAAGTGGGATTAAAAATCTATGGTCGGCTGCCCCTTTGAGACTCATTCTCCAGCATAAGCATATAATAAATGGCTTGATAAGCTATCATATCTACCATACCCTTTCTAGGATTTCCTCTACCATATTTTGACTTCAGAATCATTCTTTGTTGGTAAAATAGATCTTACTTTAGCCAAGTTAGCATGTTATACTACTAATATGGCTTGCATTGAATAGACCACACCTGCTTTATATACCATTTCAGAATTAGACCTCCTTTCCCTTTCTGGTGCAATTTAATGAAATTCTACATTTTTTTTATTTAGTGTTTAAGAGAGAGAGAGAGAGAGAGAATAGTTCAACTATTTAACATCGTTTTCTTTGAACTCTGACGTCTCTTGCAATTTAGACAACAAATTGAATAGTTCCCCCGTCTCATCAACTAAATAAATATATTGAGGGTACAATTATGAAATTAGTTTCAGGTTAGGTACATTTTGTTTTTTCAGAAGATTATCTAGTAACCAGAGCAGTATCAAGGAAATATTGGTCATTTTAAGGAGAATATAGTTCAAATTTAAAACATCTAAATTCAAAGCTTCATTATGCAACACACTTTGACAATAAATACGGGATCAAAAGGAAGAAACTACAACATCCAGTCTACGGAAAGGTAAGCAGCTCCTCACCATGTTTTCATGCCACCATGTGTCCATCCCGAGAGGTAACAATAAAGAGGAAATACATGTCCAAGGAATAGATGAATGGTGAATTTTAAGAGATGCAGCTTTGGTAATTGCATTCCAATGCTCAAATATCTCGTTTGTAAATATATATTACTCATCAGGTTCTTCACTAATCATTGGTCATTCTTTAAATGGTTCATAGTTGGTACAAAATTTCACCAGTCATTCAGTGGCACAATAACTCATCCCTATACAAGAATACAGCCCATCCACATATTACATCTTTCAAACTGGCAATCTTTCTCGAAGATTGAAGAAATGCATTAAGTATAAATCCTATAAATCCTATAAATTCCTCAAGATTTGTCAGGAACCTTTACTATGGTTCTGTTGAAGTGAACAAGGAATTCTGTATTACCCTCGGCACCTTTCAGAGGAGACTCAATCCAACCTTTACAGCAGAAACCAAAATTCTCTACTCCCTTTATAATCTTCTCGCGGACCTGAAACGGAGAAATCAGTCACCTTCACATTGTCTTGTGTTAATTACAAGTTAATGTGTGCATTAAAACAATTCAACAAATACAAAAAAAGATGCAAATATCATAAATTTTTTAGATAGTTTTTATTCTACTGATTAAGCTAGTTTACACATTACACAAACTTCTCCATAGGTACTTAAAGCCATAGGAGCAGAAATAGGAAAGTGAAATAAATCAAACTTCTCTCAAAAGTTAAAATCAAGTTATGCATCTCAATTCTAGAGAAGTTAAATAAGAAAACTTAAAAAAAAAAAAAAGGTGAGGTGCATAAATTGAATTTAACTTTTGAGAGATGTTTGATTCATTTTACCTTTTTACTTTCTTGTCTTATAAGAATTGATTGATTTGAGAAGCTTATCCAATCTAGGATTCATTTCAACATTTTGCAGGTGTAGTTACTAATCACGAAACTGCAGTTAATGCAGGGGTCCTAACCTGAAATTGCTAGGTATTGCGATCATCAAAAAATAAACCTTGAACAGTCAATATATATGTAGTGGCTAATGGAGTTGAGTTGATATTACCCAAATCAAATGATTAGGACAATAGAAAGACCAGAGATCTAAACTTCATTTACTGCCAAGAATTTTCTTATTCAAAATCCTTCCTTCTGTTTATTATTAATGACTTTTTTAAATATGAAAAGAACAGAATCTCCCAAAAATATTATAGTTGTATGATGAGTGTGGTATGGTAAAAGTAGAATTTGTTCTTCCCTTGAATTACATCTTTCCAAAGTTTGTTGCTTGATATTTTACTTAACAAAGCTCATGTATTTATTTTGGATTTTTTAATAGAAGAAATTTAGTGAGAAAATGAAGAATTCAGAAAAGGATATGGAATTGTCCACAAAAAATCAAAGAGCATACAGAGGAAAACAACTGAAACGAAATAATACTAATAGCCCAAAAGAGTTCTCCGACTCCAATCCCTTTGTAGTACAGTTTGAGAGCCTTTAAAATACCATAAGAAACCCATAGAGAAGCCATATTGCTTTAAAGACTACTCTGTCCCAGACTCCCACATAACGCGGGAAGACTTGTTTTAACTAAACAATTTTGAATTAGATGGAGTTTAGCCAGGAATAAAATTGAATGTTGAGCAGAATATAAAGTACACACACCTCTTGATGGACAATGGGATCTTTCACTATCCCTCCTTTTCCTACCTGCACAGAAAATGATACTGAAAATTCAGAAATAATATTTCGTTTCTTCTTGATTTCCAAGAAAATGGGACAAAATGTGATTATTCTATACAAAACCATAATCCTGCTTGCATATAATGATATATTGGTAATAGTATCTCATTGACATGTGTAAATTGGAAAATAGTGTTTTTTCCCCTGACTCTGTATGCATTGACAATCTATGCAGCAAAATGAACAATATATTGGTAATGTTTTGAAAAGAGTGTATTTTAGTACTCTATTAGTCTATTTGATAAACAATATCATTGGATATCCCAAATAGAATTCATGAGCTGAGAACCAAAACAAACAGCATAGGAGTTTGTATCCCTTACTTGAGATCTACGAGCTTCAAATTGTGGTTTAACCAAAGTCACTAATGCTGCATTTTCCTTCATAACATTGACCACAGCAGGCATGACCTGTTAAAAGAATAAAAGAACATTTAGTAGGTCAAGAAGGCTAATCATACAAATAATTCTTAGATATGTGAAAAACATCTCAAGAGAATAATTAGAGATGATTAAGAAGTTGAAGTTAATATATGTATGATAAGAATAATAAGGAAACACGATCATGATGGTCATTTTTAAAAGAATAGTTGCTCTGAAAAGTTAATATCCACCTATAAGGTACCAGTCGAATGCCATTTTGGTGTATATACATATGTGTAATCAAACTATTCTTATGTTGCTCGTGATACCGAGAGATAGTTCATGTATACAGAAAATATTCTAACTAATTCTGTTAGGAGTTAGGAGAGAGGGAAGGGAAAGTTAGTTGAGGCAATTATTGTAGTTAGTTCGTGGAAGGAATTAGTTAGTAAAGGGAAAGACATTGAGATTTGTTAACATTTGTAAATTGAGCTTTTAGCTCTTTGTGAAAGGAGAAATCCTTTGCGAAGGGAAACCCTTGGAAAGAATTTAGAGCATGTTTGTTCGCATTTTTAAAAAGAGTTCTCTCTTTTTGAAATAAAAAAAGTATACTTATTTTTTGATTCCTCTCTAATTCACATTTTATTTTCTTTGGGTTCCTAACAAATTCCAAACATGATTAAGAAGCAAAATATAAATCACAGTTACACGTTGGAAATTGGAATAAGTGGAAGTGTAGTTGTCAAGACCAGAATTCTAGAAACATGACTGGTCATTTAACTGGAAGAACTATAGTTTACATTCAGTCTATCAGATTTTAATCAAAATTTATTTATACATAGTTATAGTTACAAAGAAACATATAATATGTGAGTAAAGAAAAAAACTATAAATAATAAAATTATTTATTTTGTTTGATAGCTTTTATTAATAATGTTTACAAATGTTTAGTTGAATAAATGACTATATATTAGCAGACAGTTGAAGGATGGGCCAATTTCTATTCCTAGCTTGTTGTAACTTGTAATTAGTTCAAAGGGAGAGATGACAGGGTATAAATTATTGTAAGTATAGAGTTTTTATTTGGTTTGAGTGAAATTGGGAGGGAGAATCAAGGTCTCTCAAATACCTGGAGTGTTGAGAGGAGATTCATTTCTATTGTACATTTGTGATCTCAGGCCTTGTATCACATTGATACTGATCAGAGGGCCTTCTCTCTGTCACAAAGATTGGCAAACATTATCTATCATTTCACAAGTTCAATCCCCATATTGAGTTTTCCGAGCCTTTTTAAATTATATAACATTAACACACTATCTAAAAATGTCGCCATCTTGAAAAAGGTGCTATCCTACCACCAAAAACAGAACGGCTCAATCAATTCACCATGCCTGATTCTGCCAATTGTTTAACAGTTTTGACTAAGTTTGGTTGAACAGGATGAACCCGACTGGTAAATGGGATAGTTCCTATTTAAACTGGCAGTACCAATCCAACTTTCAGAACCATTGTTATACACCGATCAACAGAAGAGGAATAGAAGTAAATGTTTAACCTGATTTCAGAGCTTACCGTGAGAATAGAGATGAATGAGAGGTCTAAGGTCACCAAATCAACATTTTGTGGGAGTCCAGCAAGATATCTTAAATTTGTCCGTTCGATCACTGATACACGATCATCTCTTCGAATTTTGTCAGCTACCTAAATAATATACAATCATGAGTTCATGAGCAGTAGAGAATCACTAAGCATAATTGACATGCAATGAAGTAATGCAGTTGGGGAAAGGTCATGGGAGATTAAGAAGATTGTATAAATTTTCTAAAGGAAATATAAGTCAGACATACACAAAAGACCATGTTTCTACGTTCTTGGTTAATTTATAAAATAAGATGAATTATTTTGGATTAGTTTACTGGATTTGAACAAAATTTCTCAAATTATATAATTCAAAGATTTTACTATAAATATTCAAATGGCACAGTTCCTCACAAATGACGTTCCAGAAGCATAAAGAATATATATACATGCTTTAGTTTATGCAAAAGCAACATCTTGCATATTACATTTCAATTAAAAAAAATCCTTATAAATTTTACCCAAAAGACCATATTGGTTCAGCAGCAAACCTACAGCAACCACTATTTCCCTTGTCTTTAAAAAAATAAAAATAAAATTATTTTTATTGATAAAACAATTGATATATTTATATATCATTTAAGAACTGAACATAAATTTAAATTTTATTTGCAAGTACAAGTAATGAGCCATTTGGTTGTCATAATTTCATCAATCTACTGATTTCACTGTAAATTTATAATTTTCCTTTAAAATAATATGTGGTAAAAAAAAGAAAGAAAACAGGAGGATCCCAAAGTGTGTGGAGAAAGAAATTTAAGGCTAAAATGTCTGGAATTATGATAGCACTAAGTACGCTCCACTCCAGCAAAAATGAGATGAGCACCTTGTAAATTTATCATTAACAATAAGTGTCACATAATAAGTCAGCCTGTTGGCCTATTCACTGGAATATACACATGCTTATTCAGACAGAAAATATTGCAGCCACCATCACCTGATAGCTCTACAATATATGCTTAAATTTACTATTCTACATAAAGGGATGATACCAGGTCTATGTAGACTATGCAAAGTGCTTAATTCTAGATTACAGTGGAGAGTGACCAACACCAAAATCAATACAAGTGTAGCAGAAGAGCACTATGCAATAGACAGCAGATACAATGGAAATAATTTATAATACACACATAATGGATGCCCAAAACTCAATGTACACAAAACATAAAACTTATTCATCATTAGTATTCAAAAGACATAGTTTAAAGGCACAATCATCATTCATCTAAGGCATAACTAATAACAATAAGTTAAAAACAACCCAAAAGGATAACAAAATAAAGTACAGCACTAATTAAGTTTAAGCCTGTAAGAGATAGCTACATAAGCCAAACATTCAACACAAACAATAAATATAAGAAACCTTCCCGTACATAGCTGAGTTCTCATAAAACCCGTCCCCCCCCCCCCCCTCCAAAAAAAAAGGGAAAAAATAATAAGCTTTTAGCTTAATTGGTTGGCACCAAAGCAAGTGTGCCATGTCACCTTTACCCTTCCCATATCAATATCACATCTCCACTAAAACCTAAAAAAACAATGAATTATTTAATACTATACCTGTCCATAACCTACGTCAACTCCATAAACAAATGATGCTCCGTACTGAAGTAAGCAGTCAGTAAATCCTCCAGTTGACAGCCCAGAATCAAGAGCTACTTTACTGGTAACATCAACACCAAGCTGTTCAATAGCAGCTTCTAACTTATGTCCAGCTCTGTGTTGATATAAAAAGGCCAAACGAATGGTTTCACCAAATTTGAAGTTGAGATATTATTTCAAGGAAATAGAGCTTGATGGCTTCACCTACATACATATTTGGGAACATCAGCCATTATCTCCACAACAGCTTTTTCAGGCACAGGGCTACCAGCTTTATTTATCACCTTCCCGTTCACATATACTTTGCCTGCATCCCATATGTTATTCATTTAGTAATAGTCTTTTCCTACAATTAATAAGCACAAAAGGAGACTAAATGACAAATTACACTTAATTGCTAAAATAAATATTCACATACATTTGAGTGTACTGAGTCAAGGACAGTAAGCAAAAAGAGAAAGAAATAGACAAATAATAAGGTTCTACATTATATTAGTTGCAGTACTTATTGTTTTTGAGTTGCAACTTGATTCTACTCTAATTTGAAAGATTCAATCAAGCAGAAGTTAAATTAGAATTATGCATTGATGCACACCATGCCAACATACAAATCAGAGTGATATGAGGATGTTACAACCCCACTGAAGGTTGGTCAGATCAGATTTGTTTGCTGCCTTGATTATTTTGTGGTCTTCTTTGGACGATGTTTGGCCTTTGGCTTCGTGGCGGATTGGGTTGAGGTAGTCTCATGGAAGGTGCTCTAAGTGGAGTAGGTGTCCTTTGGCTTCATGGCGGATTGGGTTGAGGTAGTCTCATGGAAGGTGCTCTAAGTGGAGTAGGTGAAACTGAATAGTAAAGCATTGGGTGGTAAGGTTGTGGAGCTGGTCAAATGGTTGTAATGTAACATATGGGTAAGGCATACGAGGGTTGCGGAAAGTTTGTTGGAGATGAAGGGATTTATAATTGGGCCTTCTAAGGGGGTATCCGCCTTGGTAAAATGTAACTGCATTGATTTCTCCTTATTTCTTCTTTCCTTGCTCACTTGAGTTTTTTTGTGCTAATCATCCCAACAGAAGTGCGAGCAATGTTTCCACTCCTCATACTGCTTTCTACTCTCTTATTATAACAATGCCTAAGAAGTTTGATGATATACTTTCAATCATCTTGTCATAGAAAAGTGATTGCAAAGTATCTAAATACAACTACCATTTCTTTTTCTGTTAAAGGAGGCTTAACCCATGTTGACACATCTCACCATCTCTAGGCATACTCCTTAAACGTCCCAATCCTTTTATGGCACTATTGATGCTCCATCCTAACAAACTCCTGCAGCAAGTTGTTGACCCTCAAGAAATCCAATTCCACAATATGGCCTTTTGCTTGGCTATAGACCCCCAACAATTGCCAATCTATTACCCATAATTCATTCTGCATTATATTTCATTCTGCACCACAATTATATATACCTAGGGTGATCATAGGTCAAGTTCGGTGGATTTTGACAAAAAAATTAACCTACCCTAACTGACCAAACATAACAGGTTGGATTGAATCAATTTTTCATTTTTTCAGACATGTGACCTGGACCAACCTGACCTAACCATGAACTTGTTGGTTTGGATTGCGTAATTAGGTCAGTAATCAGTATTTAAAAGAATAAACTGATAGATTCAAACATGTATATACTAGGAGAAAGAAGACTAGTCAGAAAAATAAAAGTGTAAATAACCAATTCTGTTTATTAGTAAATAAATATGAGCACAGATAGTTAGTTTGGAGTTTTTTTCAGTTGGAATAGAATAGGCTGGTCTAGAGAGTGAGGTCTCTCGAATCATCTCAGGTTATTGAATTTTGTAATCATTCTTCCTATTCCTAATCAGTGTTGTCAAATGGCCGTTATGGCGGCGCCATGGCGTGGCGGAATGACGTGGCGGCACCATGGCGGCCGTTACAAGCATGGCGGTAACGGCCGGCCATGGCGGAAATCGTGATAAATGGCGTTTTTAAAAAAAAAAATGGATTTTCTGCACTTTTGGGCCAGATCCGACGCGACGCGACCCGACCCAGTTCAGAACCCAACTGCCTAAATCCAGGTTTTTTCTCTCTCTTCTCCTTACGATCTCACTCTCCCTCTCTTTGCAATCGCACTCTTTGAGATCTCACTCCCCACTCTGCTCATCTCTTTGAGCTCCCTCCATCTCTCTCTCTCTCTCTCTGCGACCACTTCTCTCTCTCTCTCTGCGACTGCTTTCTCTGAGATTTCGTTGCTGAGATCTCATTTTCTTGGGCTCTGTGTTTCTGTTTTGGTGCATTTCGGTCTGTATTTTCGGCGACTGCACCATCTCCGGTGACTCCAACCTCCATTTCCGGCGACTGCACTTCCATCTCCGGCGACTCCATTTTTCTGGTAGCTATTTTTTTTCATTTTTCCTCTCAGTTTTTTCTTTATTTCCCCCATTTAAATTTTACCCTTTCCATCTTTCAATTTTTACCTCTCCCACATTTCTATTTTTCTCTGTTTTTTCTTTGATTTTCCTCAAAAAAAAATTCTACTTATTTCAGCTACGCTTAACATGGCTCAACATGAGTCTTCATTAAATTGTTCAAGAACTTCTAATCGTTCTGACCCGGGATGGAAATATGCTCATTCGGTGAAAGATGGAGATACAAACAACATTGTATGTAATTTTTGTAGAAAAGTTATGAGTGTGGGAATCACTAGAGTGAAACAACATTTAATCGGAAAGAAGGGTAACGTGAAAGCTTGTCCCAAGTGTCCGAAAGAAGTTAGAAAAGAGATTGAGACATATCAAAAGGAAAAAAAGAATCAAAATAATTTTGAGATGCCAAATGTGAGAAGCTTTGAAGGTATAAGCTATGATGTAAGTGAGGATGAAGAGGATACCCAAATCCGTAGCGTTGCCATTGGAAATCAGAAAGGGCCAATGGACTTGTTTTGTAGAAAGCCTGAAAGTGCAATTGAGAAAAGAAAAAAGGAAAAATTGAGACAAACAAATATAAGAGAACGATGTGACAAAGAAGCCAAGGCAAGGGTCCATCAATACATAGCTCAATTTTGGTATCAAGCTGGCCTTTCCTTTAACCTCATTAAAATGAAGAGCTTTCAAGAAATGCTTACAGCTGTTGGTGCTTTCGGTCCAAATTTACCAGCTCCAAGTTATCATGATATTCGAGTTCCACTTCTAAAGAAAGAGCTAGAATATACCGATTCCCTCATGAAAGATCATAAAGAGCAATGGAGCAAACATCGCTGTTCCATAATGTCAGATGCATGGACCGATCGAAAGCAAAGATGCTTGATTAATTTTTTGGTCAACTCTCCTGCTGGTACTATGTTTGTGAGGTCTATTGATGGATCTAATTTTGTGAAGACCGGTGAAAAATTATTTGAGATGCTTGATGCTCTTGTGGAAGAGATTGGAGAAGATAAAGTTGTGCAAGTGATAACGGATAATTGAAGCAATTATGTCTTGGCTGGTAAGATGTTAGAAGCGAAAAGACCACATCTTTATTGGACTCCTTGTGCAGCTCATTGCATAGATCTTATGCTTGAAGATATTGGAAAGCTTCCTTTGATAAAGAAGACAATTCAAAGGGGAATATCGGTTGTTGGCTTTATCTACAGTCATTCAAGTACCTTGAGTTTGTTGAGAAATTTTACAAACAAGAGGGAATTGGTAAGACATGCAGTTACTCGATTTGCAACTTCTTTTCTATCATTAGATAGACTTCACCAAGAAAAAGCAAATCTTAGAAAGATGTTTATTTCTGAGGAATGGTGTAAAAACAAGTTATCAAAGGAAGCTAAAGGGAAGCAAGCAACAAAAATTCTATTAAATCCTGTATTTTGGAATAATGTGGTGTATACTTTGAAAATCATGGCTCCTCTTGTCCGGGTGTTACGTTTGGTTGATGGAGAAAGAAGACCAGCTATGGGGTATATTTATGAAGCAATGGAGAAAAGTAAAGAAGCTATCATGAAGTCATTCAAAAATAATGAAAGTAAATACAAAGATGTGTTTGCAATCATTGATAACAGATGGACTTGTCAGCTTCACCGTCCATTACATGCAGCTGGTCACATTTTAAACCCGGAATTTTACTATGACAACCCTCAAATTGAATTTGATTTGAAAGTTAGAAATGGGTTGTATGATTGTATCAAGAGGTTGGTGCCAAGTCGGGATGTGCAACAAAGTATACTACTTGAATTACCAATTTACAAGAGCGGTAGTGGTCTCTTTGGGTCCGACTTTGCAAAATCACAAAGAAAAAGCATTGCTCCCGGTAATTCATCAAATTCTTCAATATTTTAATTTTAAGGTTATACTTCATCTTCAGAGTTATAATTTATCTTTCATTTTATAGCTCAATGGTGGAGAATGTATGGACATTCAGCTCCACATTTGCAGCAACTAGCTATCAAAATTTTGAGCTTGACATGTAGTGCATCCGGATGTGAACGCAACTGGAGTGTTTTTGAGCAAGTAATTTTTTATCTCTCGAGCCTACTATTCTCTTTTATAAATTAGAGAGAAACTGATTAATATTCTTATAATTAAACTCACGTTGCAGATTCATTCAAAGAAGAGAAATAGGCTTGATCACAAAAAATTACATGACTTGGTTTATGTGAAATACAACCAACAACTCAAAGAACGTTACAATCTTAAAGATGTAATTGATCCAATTACACTCAATGATATTGATGAGTGTAATGAGTGGTTGGTTGGAGAAATGGATGATGATACTCTAGATGAGGATGCTGGAAATGACTTAGTTTTTTATGGTGATAACACTTTAAATTGGGCAACTGTTTATGAAGCTTTTGGAATTGGAGAGCCTACAACATATACTAGGCGTCATTCTAAGAAAAGAAAGAATCCATCAAGTGGTATCACTATCAAAGCTGCAAAAGTTTCCAAGATTAAGGCATGTTCAACAACAAAAGGAAAAGAGAAAATGGTTCTTGAAGATGATGATGAAGAATTAGAAGATGAAGAAATGTTGGAAGAAACAGAAGATGAATTAGAATTTAATCTTCTACAATCTGAAGGAGAAGAAGAGGAGGGATATGCCTTGGTGGATGAGAAAGAGGATGATTATGTTGGAGTTGAAGACGACGACTAAATTGATAATCTTTATTTTTATTGTTAACTTGACATTTGATAATTACATATTTTGTATTTAATTATACTTTAGATTGAAGGTTATGTTACATATCTTTTTAGTTAATTATTTTCTATTATTTTCTGTGACCTATAGTATTTTTTTATATATTTTATT